CCCATAAGGAGGTCCCAAAACAGCGAAGTGTGAGACCCACTTTCCTTTTCTTCCAATCTCTCCCTTATCTGATTGTACCCTCGTCTCAGCAACTTTCACGCGACTCTTTCCTTCAAATTGACAATTCTTCCTCACCGGCATCAAACTGTAAATTTGATGTATCATCCATTCCGCCAATTATGAACCATTTTTTAATTTAAATTGCATATTTTCCTCCTTAATCCACAATTACAGAGTTAATTATATAAAAATCAATGCATACATGCAGGGATTTTTACAGAGAAATAAGGGTTTTGGTGGGTTTCGATGGTGACTGGAGAGATTGAAAGGAACAACAGAAAAATTGTCTGTGAAGCCCACTAATTTGCTGTTGTGGCGATGGTGTTCGCCGGTGTGTCTAAATGATGAAAAGGGTTGTGTGAAAGTTGCAGGACTGAGTGGGATTTGCTGGAGTTCGTTAATATTCGTCTAAATGGAGCGGATTTTATTTGTCCCGGCATTTATGTGGAGGTAGTGGATTTTGTTTTGATCACTAGTAGTAGGGGTGGGGCAGGGTGGATATCCTATCTCCCGATTCAAATTCGACATGATATAATTAATAATATATCTATATATATGAAATATAATTAGATGCAAAAAAATAAAATTAAAAGATTATAATTTTGTTTAAATATAAATAAATAATAATATTAAAAATATCACTGTTTATATATATGAAAACAAAATAAATTATTTAGTATGTTAAAATTTAAATGTTAGTGTGTTAAGAATTTAAATGGTATTTATTGTTTTTGATTATTTAAAATGTGGATGGATATCTACGGATATCGGGTATCTGCGAGGGCGGAGTTGAAAAATTTCACCCATAACAGGGTGAGACGGGAGCAGAAGTGGAGTTTGTTAGCGGGGGCAGAGGCGGGGGCGGGAATGACAAATCCGCCTCAAACCCGTCTCGTGGCCATCTCTAGAGGTAAGTGGGTCCCACAATTTGCTGTTTTGGCAATTTTTTATTGGCTGTCCATAAACTATAGATTTTCGAGACAACCATTTATAACTTAATCTCTTTTTAATTAATCATTTATACTGGGCTCTTTTGGAAAGTGAATTAGTAGCCAAAAACTAACTTTTAATCCCTTTTAGGTTATATCATGTAACGCCTCAACCCTTCACATGTCATCGATATTGTCCGCTTTGGGCCATGCCCGCAATAATTTATTATTCCCAATGGGTCACTCATCCCAGAACTACTCTAACCTAAGCGCGCTTAACTGCGGAGTTCTATTAGAAATTTCACCACCTGGGAAAAAGCCTCGATCTTACATAAGGGTTTAGATTTTTATTTTTGTAGCCTAGGAACTCCCCCTCCATTCTTGATGTGGGACATCAGGACCTTACAATCTGAAGAGTCGGCTTTGATATAATCTGTAATGCCCCAACCCTTCACATGTCATCAATATTGTTTGCTTTGGGCCATGCCCGCACAGATTTATTCTTCCCAATGGGTCACTCATCCTATAACTACTTTAGCTTAAGCACGCATAACTACGGAGTTCTGTTAGGGATTTCACCACCCGGGAAAAGGCCTCGATGCTATATAAGGATTTAGGTTTTTACTTTTATAACTTAGGAACTCCCCCTTAATTCCTGATGTGGGACACCAGGACCTTACAATCCACCCCCTTTTAGGGCTGTACGTCCCCGTGCAGTAGCCTGTCAGCTCACAATTCCGCCCATATGCGCCAAGAGACACCAAGGACCCATACTTGGTATTTCGGAGAGTCAGCTCTAATAACATTTGTAACGCTCCAACCCTTCATACGTCATCGATATTCTTCACTATGGACATTTCTATACGGATTTATTTTTTCCAGTGGGTCACCCATCCCAGAACTATTCTAGTCTAAGCACGCTTAACTGTGAAGTTTTGTTAGGGATTTTATCACTCGGGAAAAGGTTTCGATGCTATATAAAGGTTCAAGTTTTTATTTTTAAAGCCTAGGAACTCTCCATCCATTCCCGATGTGCAATACCAGGACCTTACATATCATCTCTCATATTTTTAACACATTTTTTTTTTCAAAAAAAGCCAAAAAAATCAATAGTCAATTTTTAATCATCTTTTCAAAATAACCCACTATTTACACTGGTGATGTTATCTCTTATAAACCCAATAAAAAATAAAAAAATAAAATGTTAGGCATCCTAAATATTTTATCAAATATTGACATGAGTGTAGGTTTTACACCCATATGAGTATTGTGTCAAAATTTTGATAGAAAAAAGTTGTGTTTTGGAGAAGTTATTTGGTAGTCCTAAGGGTACAGACTCGTGAAGCCCCAGTGGTATTTTGATTGGTGAAGATAGTATGAATCACGATTTTATGTTGGTTAATTAAAAAAAACATGAAATATAATGTATAATGATTAGTGGAAGTACTATTGCGTGATGTCTCAAAAGTATCACATGATGCCCCAAAAGCACCACATATGTTTTCTATATTTGGGATGATTTGGGAATTTTTTTGTAATTGAATAGATGATTGTGAGAGAAAAAATAATTAATTGATATGTATGATGTGATATTTTATCTTATTAACTATGTTAGTATTTTTTGTTTTTATTGAATATTTTAACTCAAAAACAACAGGCGTGTTTGGTTTTTATTTTGAGAAGAATTTTCAAAAAAGAAAATTTTGGGAGAGAGAGTTTAGAAATTTTGTTAGTTTGTTTAGTTGTATATTTTGAAAATAATTTTGAAGTTTGAGAGTTGGCATGATTTGATATTTTGTTATAATTGAGTAAATGTATGTGATAGAAAAAGTGATTGAGATGGAGAGATGAGAGAGAAAAAGTGATTGATTGATATATAATAAAGAGAAAGAATTTTAAAAAAATTTGTAACCAAAATGTTTTTGAATTTTTTTTTTTTCAAAAATATATTTTAAAACACAAACCAAACCAACCCATCTATTCCAAAAATTAGGAGAAATTTATAATATAACCTACAAAAAAACAATGGAGAAGGAAGTCACAACCGACAATAGATAGCCCATACGAAGGACCAATTGAAATTAACATTAGTGGTCCATTTTTGACCAAAAATTAGACTTAAGAGTACACTTCAAAATAAGCATGATTATTGTGACCATTATACCAATTTTATAGGAATGAAAATGAATTTGCTGGATACGCGTATGGCCATCCCCCATATATTATATGAATTTATTTTAAAATTTAACTTTGTAGGATTTTATCATGGATTTATAATGATAACTTATTTCATAAATTAAAATTTTAGTTTCATTAAATATTACTAAATACGTGAAAAATTTTATTTAATTTTTTAAAATAGATGACAGCTATGGCTTGAATTTAAACCATTTAATTTATAAAATAAAATTTAATTTATTTATTTATTAATATTTAATCAAATGAATATTTTAAATAAACGGTCTTTATTATAAAATCTACATCATGAATACTTCATACTATCGATTGAATCCTACAAAGATGACAGTGGTATGAAACTAGAGCGATTTTTTTCATATGACTTTAGGATTTAGGAGCAGAAATGATGATTTTACATACCTTTTGCTTATGTATGCTTATTTTGATGTCATTATATGCTAGTTACAAATTTAAAAAATCAATATTAATTAATTAATTAATTTATTTATTTATAATTTTTAAATAAAAAAAATAAAAATTAATTCTCAAAATATCTCACCCCAAAAAAATCATCTTTGTTTCATTATAATTTTTAAAAATTATTTTTAAATGTGTTTTCATTTGTCTTTATTGACCTTTTTTTTTCATATTTTAGTAAAAAGTAAAAAAATTTAACTAAAATATAAAATAAAAAAATTAACTAAAAACAAATGAAAACTCAAACAAAAATGTACCTAGATTTTTTTTTCAAATTTTCATTTATTTTTAGCAATATTCCGTAATATTTTACTGTTTAATTTGTTTTACTTTTTAGATGTATCTTGATTAGGTACATTTAAAAAATATAAAAAATTAATTAAAATATAAATAATAATAATAATAAAGATAAACGAAAACTCATCTAACAACCATTTTTGAAAAATCAAACCAAACAATCAAGATTTAAATTTTATTCAATAAAATATATTAACCAACCAAAATTTACAAACTTTACAATGGATTCCTCATGTGGGCTACCTTTTTCTACTTTTTAGCTATTTTAGTTTAAGATTAAAAGGTTTCGTTTAAGATAAATTTTTGGATTTTTTTAATTTTAATTAAAGAAAAAATAAAATGATTCACTTTGTTTGGTTACACTTTTCTAAAAATATTTTTCAGAAAATTTTACTTTTTTGTTTTTCGTTTTTTTTTGTTTCTACTGAATATTTTTAATATTTTAAGCAATTTTTTCTACTTTTTAGACATACTTAACATAAATATATCTAAAAAGTAAAAAATTTGTGAAAAAACCTTTTAAAAATTCACTAAATACCAAAAATATATATAAAAAAAATAAGAATTCAATACATTTTTTGTATTTTACGTATTTATTAATTTTTTAAAATACTTTTTCATAATTTTTTTTTTTACTTTTTAGATACATTTAAGTAATGTGTATCTTAAAAAAGTAAAAAAAATATTTAAAATTTTAAAAATATTCATTAAAAACAAAAACATCCGAAAATCAAAACATTCAATTTTCAAAAAACTTAATCCAAAAAACTCAAACCAAACACATTGATTATGATTTAAATGTAATATTTTATCTTATTAATTTTTTAGAAAAAAAAAAAAAAAACAGTTTCTCAAAAAGGAAATTAGGGGGATTAGGGGGACTTTTTTTAGTGCTACAAAGCATTTTCCATTTTTTAACTTATTTTATTATTTTGTAACTAAAATAAACTTTTTAGCCCCCGAATTTTATAAGCCAAACGAGTGAAATTTTAAACAAATCAAAGTAACTTTGATCAAAACACTTTTTGTATATAGGTGTTAACAATTCGCATAAATAGAGACCTTATGGCATAGAGAAAAAGCATAATTTACAATGAAGAAAACACACACTCCCTTCGCATTCCTCTTTCTCTCTCTATTCCCAATTATTCTCTCTCTTCTCCGTGCGGCATCAGCAGCAGCAGCAGAGTCTCCGGTACTCGACACCACCGGCCAAAGCCTCCGCACAGACCTCTACTACTTCATCCTCCCGGCGGTCCGGGGCGGCTACGGCGGCGGTGGACTCACTCTCTCCGCCGGCCACAACGCCACCTCCACCTGCCCTCTCGACGTCGTCCAAGAGCAACTCGACTATGGCCTTCCCGCCACTTTCTCTCCGATTAACCTCACCAAGGGCGTCGTTCGAGTCTCCACAGATCTCAACATCGTGTCCTCACCTAGGGCTTACAGTGTCTGTGTGGAATCGAATGTGTGGAGGCTCGATAGCTTCGACGAATCGACTGGAAAGTACTTCGTGTCGACTGGGGGTGTTAAAGGAAACCCTAGCCGAAGAACGTTGAGGAATTGGTTTAAGATCGAAAGGTATGAAGATTTTTATAAGCTTGCGTTTTGTCCAAATGTGTGTGGGGTTGCTGAGATGTGCAAAGTTTTGTGTAAAGATGTTGGGGTTTATGTTGATCGGATTGGAACGAGAAGGTTGGTGTTAAGTGATGTTCCATTCAAAGTCATGTTTAAGAAGGTCTGATCTGAGTTCTGAATTCAATTGTATGATCGAAATCTTTACTTTTTAGAAATTTTCTTTTGAGTTATCATTCCTTCATCAAATGTTGTACTAATAAAATTATGTTTTGAATAACATGAATGAAATAGAGAAAATAACGCTATATCTCTTTAGGCGAAAAATATTTTTTATGATTTTTTTTTTTTTTGAGAAAATATTTTTTGAAGAATATATATATATATATATTTATGTTTGATGATGGTAGTGTGAAGGTGGAGGTGGAGGTGGGGGCAATGGCAACGATGATGGCAATGGTGATGGTGATAGTGGCTGTGGTGATATAGGTGTTGATGGTGGCGATAGTAATGTGATAACGAGTAATGTGATGATATTAGTAAAATTTTAATTTAAAAATAGAAGATAAGTTGAGAGAGAATCGATTGAGATGATTTGGTCAGATTCAACAGAGATTAAACAGAGATAGTACTGAAGATATGCGATACTGTAACAGCTGATAGGAGAGGGAACGGGGTAGATCTATATTAACGTTAACTAGTTTTGTAAATAGAGATATAAATTTACTTAATTTGATTAACGAAATGATCTTTGATAAGGCCGTGGAAAGAAAAAAAAATTATGTAACAAACTCAAGTTTGATGGAACTGAAAACTTAATTTGACTTGATTTGATTTGATTATAAAAATTATTTTCAGTTGGCTTTTGTTTTCATGGTACCAAACACCAAAAACATATAAAAAAAAAATTCATTTAAACAAATCGAGTGTGACAATCATATTAATGTATTTTTTTAGGAAAATGTTTGAGAGCTCGAAACTTGTCCCCCCTAATCCCCCTAATTCTCAAAACGATGTCGTTTTGGGCATTAGGCTTTTTTTTCTTTTTTTCTTTTTTTTTCCTGCCATTTTTGACCATTTCCGAGCTCAAACGCAGGGGGAAGAGGGAGAGGGAGAGGGAGAGGGAGAGAGAGATGGTGATAGTGGTGATATAGGTGTTGATGGTGGCGATAGTAATGTGATGATATTAGTAAAATTTTAATTTAAAAATAGAAGATAAGTTGAGAGAGAATCGATTGAGATGATTTGGTCAGATTCAACAGAGACTAAATAGAGATAGTACTGAAGATATGCGATACTGTAACAGCTGATAGGAGAGGGAACGGGGTAGATCTATATTAACGTTAACTAATTTTGTAAATAGAGATATAAATTTACTTAATTTGATTAACGAAATGATCTTTGATAAGGCTGGAAAGAAAAAAAAATTATGTAACAAACTCAAGTTTGATGGAATTGAAAACTTAATTTGACTTGATTTGATTTGATTATAAAAATTATTTTTAGTTGGCTTTTGTTTTCTTGGTACCAAACACCAAAACATATAAAAAAAAAATTCATTTAAACAAACCGAGTGTGACAATCATATTAATGTATTTTTTTAGGAAAATGTTTGAGAGCTCGAAACTTGTCCCCCCTAATCCCCCCAATGCTCAAAACGATGTCGTTTTGGGCATTAGGCTTTTTTTTCTTTTTTTCTTTTTTTTTCTGCCATTTTTGACCATTTCCGAGCTCAAACGCAGGGGGAAGAGGGAGAGGGAGAGGGAGAGGGAGAGAGAGAGAGGGAGAGGGAGGGAGAGAAGAGAGAAGAGGGAATGGAGACACACACACACAGAGGCCCCTGCATTCTGGCCGATCATCTGATCGTCGAGCTCCGTCGATCGTCGCAGCTCTGTCGATTTCGTCGCAGCTCCGCCCGGCCGTCGTCGCCGTCACCTCCGCCTCTGCCTTCTTCCTCTGCCTTCTTCCCTTCTTCTTCTCTTCTTCTTTCTTTCTTCTTCTCTTCCTCCGCGTCTGCTTCTTCTTCTCTGAAAAAAAAAAAAAAAATTCAAAAAACGTCGAAACGACGTCGTTTTTATTTTCGGGGGATTAAGGGGGACGCTCTTTCGAGCTACGTAACACGACTCATTTTTTTATAGGAGTTGTTTTGCTAAAATTTCAATAATAATGCTATTAACGTGTTTTGTTTGATTAGGAGTCCTCTAACAAAAAATAACAGCTTGTTTGGTTCTAGTTTTTAAAAAATTATTTTTAGAAAATTTTATTTTTTCATTTTTCGTATTTTAATGTTTTCAATAATTTTTTTTAATATTTTAAGCATTTTTTTTAAATTTTAGTCATACCTAACATAAATATACCTAAAAAGTAAAAAAATTGTGAATTTTTTTTTTAAATTCACTAAATACCAAAAATACAAAAAAAATATGAAAATTTAGTGCATTTTTTATATTTTTATGTATTTATTAATGTTTTAAAATATTTTTTCACAATTTTTGTACTTTTTAGATACATCTAAGTAAAGTGCATCCAAAAAAATAAAAAAAAAATTAAAATTTTAAAAATATTCACTAAAAACAAAAAAATCAAAAAACTCAATTTTCAAAAAACTGAATTTAAAAAATTGAAACCAAACACACTGAATTATATATATGAACCTAATTAATTTTTTTTATTATTTTATTATTATTATTATTATTATTGAACAAATGGAGCTAGTCTGATTGGTCAGAATTTTTGTAAAGTTTCAAATTTCTCTATTTGACTGAGTTTTATTTATTTGTATTAATTATAAGTTATATATGATTTTCATTACTATAATTATAATTTATTGAGTTTTGTTGTAATATTTTATATAAGTAAAATAAAATAAAAAATTTATTAAATAATGAACACTCTTCTAATAAGGTGAGATTATCATAAAAGAGTTTGGAGATGTGATTTCTTATAGACTTTTTTTTTTTTTTTTTTTTCGAACGGAGTGATTTCTTATAGACTAGGTGATCAAGAATTGAATGTTTATAAATAAGATTATTAATTTTTTATAATTACAAGTTAATTTTTTAAAGTTTAACCGTAAATAAGGATTTAATTTTCAACCCAACATAAATTGATAAAGAAGTCATAAAAAAAAAATTTAAGCGTTATTTTGAAAAGTAAGTTAAAATTAATTTTTTAATTTTTTAAAAATATATATAAAAATATAAAGCTGTGATGTATTAAAAAAAATAAAAAAATAAAAAAAATTAGTTTGTTTGGTTCTAATTTTTAGAAAATAGTTTTTAAAAAATTCTACTTTTTTATTTTCCGTATGTTAATGTTTTCAATGAATTTTTTTAATATTTTAAGCAAAAAATTTTAAAAAATTTAGACACACTTAACATAAATACACTTAAAAAGTATAATATTTGTAAAAAAAATCTTTAAAAAATACACTAAATATCAAAAAATACAAAAAAAAAATTAGTACATTTTCATATTTTTATGTATTTATTAGTTTTTTAAAAATATTTTTTCACAAATATTTTATTATTTAGATACATCTAAGTAGAATGCATCTAAATTTTTTTTTAAAATTACTTAAAATTAAAAAAATATTCACTGAAAACAAAAAAATATGAAAAATAAAAAACTCAATTTTAAAAAAATTGAATTAAAAAAACTGAAACTGAACACACTGACTAATTTTTAGTCAAAAATTTAAATAGGCCAAAAATAAATACATAAAGAAATGCAAAGAGAGTTAGTTGTAGGGTGAGAGTTAGGCACACAAGTATTCGTTTACATTTTTCAGTGTACCTCGATTTTGAGAGTGTGAGAAATAATTAAGGGGTAATTTGGAAAGTTAGTAAAATATTAGTTTTTAATTTTTAGTTTATTTTGAATCATATTATTTCTTATATTTTTTATACATAAAATGGAATAGGGACCTTAGACCGATTTTCCCAAAATAAATACATAAAGAAATGCAAAGAGAGTTAGTTGTAGGGTGAGAGTTAGGGACACAAGTATTCGTTTACATTTTTCAGTGTACCTCGATTTTGAGAGTGTGAGAAATAATTAAGGGGTAATTTGGAAAGTTAGTAAAATATTAGTTTTTAATTTTTAGTTTATTTTGAATCATATTATTTCTTATATTTTTTATACATAAAATGATAAAAAAAATTAAAAATTAACTTTTAATCAACATTCTAAATCACTACTAAGTGGATGTTTTTGCACAGTTACACAAAATTAAAGGTCAAGCATATTAAATTTAATAGGACTCTAGAATAATACAAGGTATTAAATATAATTCAAAACTATTGACCATAACCATTAAATTAAAATTGTGACAATTAAAAAATTCTATTAATCGATAGTGGAGTGTTTTGGAAAGTTGATAAAAAATTAATTTTTTAATTTTTTAACTTTTTTAGTAATTTTTTAATAAAAAAATTAACTTTTTTAAATGATTTTTTAAAAAAAAATTGGTAAAAACCAACTTCCCAAATTGCCCAAGTGGGTTGTGACTCATCTCTCCATTATCGTAATCTATTGGAGCATACAGTTGTTGGTCGCTGGTACTAGAAGCTTTTCTTGCTTAAGCCACGTGGATACTTAAAGAACGACAATGTTAGGTAGCTCAAATTTTTGTGGCTCAAATGGCTCAAATCTGTCAAAACGACGTCGTTTTGACAGATTTTGAGTGTAAAACGACGTCGTTTTAACAGATTTGAGCCATTTGAGCCACAAAAATTTGAGCTACCAAACATTTTCCCTTAAAGAATGTAACCTTGTATTGTTTTACAATAACCCATTTGATTTATGTTATTAGGGAAATTATATGAATTTTATAATTAAAAAAAGAAACAATATAATTTTACATTTTGAATTATAATTAAAAAATTATAACTAAATATAATATGAGATATAATTAAATAATTTATAAATTATAATTAAAATAATATTATAATTAAAAAATAATATAACTAAAAGTATATATAGTACACCTCTTTTTAAAATAGGGGAATTTTTTTTAGGATCCCTGGTATTAAGATTTTATAGCATAAAGGACATCTAATATTTTTATAATATCCAAGGTCCCTTAACATGGATCAAGAGAAAATTCAATCCAACCTAGAGAAATTTTGGAAATTTCCCAGAGAAATTCTCTGCCCAGAGAAATTTTCTAGAGAAATCCTCCAGAGAATTTCTCTGTGAATTTCCCAGAGAAATTCTAGGTTCAAACCAGAGAAAATTGAAATTTCTCTGAATACCAAAGAAATCCAAAGAAAATCAGTCTGAAGAAACTAAAGAATGAATCTGAATTCAGTGTGAGCTATGAAACTTATGTATAGTTGGTATAGATATTTGATAATGGTCTTTCATAATTGCAAGTTCATCACTGCCTAGTAAGCCCATACAACTTTGTTGTCTTCAATTTTTAGTCTCAATCCATACAATCTCCTCTTCTTCTTCTTGATCAATTCTCTATCTCTTATACAAATCCACATAAGTATATACAAAGTAGCTAGCACACCAATAGAGATACCTTTGACCCCAATCTATGTGCTTGCAGTGCTATACTGGGTATATAACTTACAAATTGATCCAACCAAAATTAACTAACATGGAGATTACCAAATATACTGAAAATGCTTTGAAAGTCAACCCCGACCTTCCTCTTGGTAGTTAATATCCACTAAATAACAGAGAATACCTTCCTCTTGGTAAAAAATATGCATTCTACAATGACGTCCTTAATTTTGTATTGTTTACAAAATAATAGAGAATACCTTACCGAAGCATTTATTGGCAATAGAAAGATTTTCTCTGCTTAAAGATAATAGATCAATCATTGGGGGATAACCCTCAAGCAGACAAGAATCAACTTAAGAGTATAGTTGGTTTATTAAATAGAACTACAAATAGTAGGTTAGTCTCTCTAAGTCACTGTAAAAGTGGATTTCACCTTAATGTTTGAGGGAGATGCTGATTTTAGTGACTCACATTGGCAGCAAATTGTGTTAAAAAAATTTGTGTGGCTTTGTGTGGTTTTATCCAGAGAAAATTATGCTAGAGAAAATTTGTGTGGCTTTGTGTAACTCTATCCAGAGAAAATTGTGTTAGAGAAAATTTGTATTTTTGATCAAACCAAAGAAAATTGAACAAAAAACAAAAAAACAGATATGAAGCTATTCAAAGAAATTTGTATGGCTCTATCCATTTACTTCACCAAAAGTCACCAACCAAAAGTCTTTATGTATAAAAGTCCAAAGACCAAACAATTGCAGATATAGACTCTTAAACATTTTAACCCAAACATACATCATAAGTAATCTTTCAAAACTCTGGTTCAATTAGACTCTCAGACTCAAAAGCCTCCGTAGCATCATCTCGGATGTACTCTCTCTCTCTCTCTCCTCTCTCTCTATATCTATGCATTTGATCTCAAAGTATGCATATAATTGTTGAGAATGAACTGATCTCAAAGTCTGTGTATAATGTTGGGGTGGTGGTGAAGCTCCGAAGAATGTTGAGGACGAAGAGGAGAGAGAGAGAGAGGGGCTGTTTGGTGCAAAAAGAGAGAGGAGAGAGAATGAGAGAGTGAGTGTTATATATGGGTATGGGTGAGGGACGTTAGACTATAAAAAAATTAATTGTGAACCTTTCCCATTACTAAAAGTTGAGGAGGGATGTTAGATCAATTTTCCCTTTAAAATATGTATGCAGAATTTTCCATGTTATTAATAATACATAAAATAAAAATAAAATTTTGCTAATGACGGGGAGTTCTAGAACAATCAAATGAAATTTTAATAGTGTTAATAGTTGCCACATTTTTGCGTGGAGGGTGCAGCTTCTTTCCCATTTCTTGACGGTATTATTTGGATATGTAGAATCTATTATGAGCCTTAACTTTTTTATTTTTTTTAAGGAAAATGATATGAATAATGTTAGGTCTTATTAGGTAGATTTATTATTTAATAGGTTCTGTAAAAATTAATGGTATTTTTTATTAAATATTATTTAAAAATGTCACTAACTGTTAATTTCAGCAACAGTTTAAAAATCGTCATAAAAAAAGTCATTTATAAATTTTAGCGACAGTTTAAAAAAATCGTCACAAAAAAATGTAACGAATTTTTAACTTTCATGGACAATTTGAAAATTTTATCACTGAAAAGCTACTAATTGTAAGTTTTAGAGACAATTTATAAAAATCAAGACAAAAAGATTACTAATTGTAAATTTTTTGCAACATATACAAAAAAGTCGTCACAAAAAAATTATTTTAAACGACGATTTTATTAGAACTTATTTTCAATACGACTTAATGTGAATTAAGGTTAGGTTTGGCATTTCTTAAAAAAGCCAAAAAATCAAAAAGTCACTATCCTATTTAAAGGCTGGTTTGGCAAGTTTCAAAAAAGTCAAAAAGTCACTATTCTATTTAAGTCACATCATCTTTTTTAAGTCACATCACCTCTCTAACACATCACTTCAAACCCAACCCAAATCCAACACATATTTCATAAAAAGTCAAAAAATGCACTTATTTAGATCATCTCAAACAACTCCTCACATCATCTTATTTAAGTCACATCACCTCTCAACCTATATTCATAAAAAGTCAAAAAGCGCACTTATTTAGAATATCCCAAACAATCCCTTATTAATTATTAAAACCTATTAGTAGTTTACACATAATATTATATGTATCAATTAATATATTAATGGATAATATGGCATAATTTTAGAGGTTTTGAGTTTTTGTAATTTGTGTAATGGGTGGGGTCATAGTTTTAAGTGATATGATTAGTTGATAATTATAAAAAAAATTATGAAATAGAGTGTTATCTTTAATATCATAGTTGATTGTTGAAAATTGATTCTAATTTTTTTTTTTTAAATCTTGAATGGCAATTGTGGAGGGGTAAAAACATTGACCCAAAGCCCAAAGGTGAAGGCCCAAGGCCTAAGGCCCAAAGTCCAAGTCCAGCGAAGCAACCGGAATCCAAAGAAAGACCCAAATCATTGATAGGTTTGACAAAAGAGGGGACAGTGTTACGTAATCAAAACCTAAGTAAAATCACTTTATAAAAGGAGATCTGTAAAATACAGGGATACTCTGAGATTCATTCATAAACAATGATAAGGATCACAATTGTTAGAGATAAGAGCATAGGCTTGACCACCACAAACGACACAACCATCCGATGAACCTAATCGAGCGGATGGTCCAATTGGCAAGTTGGCCACTAAACGCCTAATATAATCTAAGCCACACATAGCAAGATAATCCAACAGCAAAAGGTCAAAGCAATCTAGCCACTTGCCCGACCAAAGTCTGGCAGATGAAGATGCCGATCCAATGGTTAAGGCCAGGATGATAACACTATAAAAAGAAGAATAAGGAAAAGCGAGACAGATAACAAAAAGGAAAAAGAAAGTCTTACTTTCTAAACAAATATTAGACAGTCGATCATATTTCTGACTTGATCGTTGAAGAGTCCTCCAGATCATATCCGGTCAAAGTGACCATTAACTAGTTGGTTTTGCTATGCAGAGTACAGGAAGGATCATCTCATTTTGCATTTCATGTGAAGAACCTTTCTGTCTTCCACAAAGCAATACTTTTTTTTTTTAATGAGATAGGTCTCATATTAATGAACTAAATTATTCATTTGTTAAGGCTATAATGTTTCCATTATCTATAAATAAATAAAAAATCGATCCAACTATAATCATATTAGTTTATAACATTTATTTGCAAATAAAATTAACGATAAATATTATTTAAAAATTATATTATTTATATTTTAGGAGACAAATGCAATAATTTGTTTTTTTTAATGGATGACACACGTTGTAATCTATAAAATATACAATTCTTATTATCAAGATAAAATATGTAGTGAGTTCAATAAACCTAAACAGTATTGTCTAGTTTACGACAAATGACTACTAAATTTATTCATAATGATGTGAACTATTAATTGATTTAAAAATTAACATTCTAAAACTCAATTTATTGTCACATTATTAAAAAAAAAATTAAAAATGATGTTTTAAAGATTTTCTATCATTTATATTAATCTAAGAAACAACTCGAAAACTCATCGTAATTTGTAACATAAAACAATCTTTATTACAACATTACATGAAGCAAAATAATGCTAGGTATCATGAAAAATCTTTCATGAAAATGATCATGAAAGATTTGTGACCTTTGGATTACACTTACAATAAAACACCACACAGTAATCAGGATAATCTAAGGGTCACAAATTTTTCATGATCATTTTCATGAAAAAATTTTCATGATTCCTAACATTTCTCATAATAATAATAGGCTTCCTTATTCCACAATGATATATGGTTGGAAATTAAATCAACAAATAATTAGATTTTAGACCTTCATAAACATGACTTTCAATGGAACCTCGCTCACCGCCAACCTCCTCGTTCCATTCTCGTCAACATAAACCCCAATATCTCCACAGGCAACTTTACATATATTACACACCGTAGGACAAAAAACAAGCTTGTAATCATCATCAAACTTTTCAATCTCAAACCAATTACTCAACGTTTCTCGACCTGGGTTTCCTTCAACACCACCGCTCATCACGAACCTCTCTCCTCCTATCGATTCATCGAGCCTCCACACGCTCGACTCGCCATCACAGACTGTCTCGGCCCTGGAAGTGAACTTGATGTTGAGATCGGTGGAGACTCGGACCACGCCGTTAGTGAGGTTTACCGGAGAGAAAGTTAGCGGGAGGCCTTTGTTGAGCTCGTTTTGGTCTTGCACGACGGCGAGCGGGCATGCTGTGGTGGCGTTGTGACCGGTGGAGGCGAGTTTTAGTCCTCCGCCGCCGGTGGTGATGGTGGTGGCGGGGAGGATGTAGTAGTATTGGCCTGTTTGGAGGGTGTGGTTTTGTGTGTCGAGTACTGCTGGATTATTGGGTGATGTGGAGTTCTGGGCTGTGACGAGGAGGATTGGGTTTGGTGTGGTGGTGAGGGTAGAGAGAATGATTAGGAATGTTGAGAGGAATGGGAATGGATTGTTTGTTTTCTTCATTGTGAATTTAAGGGTTTGTTTGTTTGTCTGATTGGTTGATGTGTACTAATATTTGCATGGGAGGAGCCATTATTTATAGATTATGGACAGATGTGTACGGCTTTTGACATTGTGGTTTCTTGTTAGGTACGCTTGCTGTGTTGAAAAATAATTTCATTCACGCTTTATAGAGAAGTTTTTTTTTTTTTTTTTTTTTTTTTTTTTTTTTTTTTTTTTTTTTTTTTTTTTGGGTTTTTTTTTTTTTTTTTGTTTTAAATAAGTATATTTTTTAAATTTTTTATGAAATATGGGTTGAGTTTGAAGTGATGTGGTAGAGAAAGTGATGTGACTTAAATAAGATGATGTTATGTAAAGCTTGGTTTGGCATGCTTGAAAAAAGTCAAAAGTCAAAAAAGTCACTATCTTATTTAAGTCACATCATATTATTTAAGTCACATCACCTCTCTAACACAACACTTCAAACTCAACCCATATTTCATAAAAAGTCAAAAAGTACACTTATTTAGATTATCTCAAACAACCCCTTAAATTAGGATAATAACCTTTTGACTTTTAACTTTTTTAGAAGATGTCAATCCTAGCCTAAGTATAGAGAAGTATATTAAATGTTGCTACTGGTTAAAATTACCCATTCAGATAATAAAGTCAAGACATTTAATTGTGTTGGATAATAAAATTGGATAAAAATTAAAAAAATATATGAATCAAATGTGAGTAAAATATAATTAAAATTTACAAACCTTTCATACATTTAAAAAAAAAATAATCTCTATTCAAATTCATAATTTAAACACCTTCATTATATTGCATTAGGGTGGGCATTTGCCGGGTAGAGTTCAGATCGGGCCATACTAACATAAGTACTTAAAAGACTTTGTGTCTGCCCAAGTCCAAACCTAACATTGGGGCTCTACATTTGCTCAAGCTCGATTCAAAAAAATATTATAAAATCTCAAACCTATCCATCGAGTTATATGTTAAAAAAAAATTAAAAACATTCTATAATTAAAGTCGATTACATATTAATATTTCTAAGTAAATATACTGATATTATTATTAATTGAAGGATTTCTTAAAAAAACTCAATCATATATAATAACAATGTGAGTTTCATAAAAATCAACAAAAATAAAATCTATATCCCAATAAAAAAAATATATTAAATATATTTTAATTAATTAATTAATTTAATAACGGCTGAGATGGACTAGGTTGAAAGTATAATTTCAAGCCCAACCCATTAATATATCGGACTGAAAATATAGCCTAACCTGACCATATGAGTTAATTTTTTTTTCCAAATCCTAAAAAAAATAAGACCAAACCAAAACCAACCAACGTTTCGATTGCCTATCCTATATTAGAATATATATATTTACACTATTAGGCCCGTTTGGTAGAGTTGTAGGAAAGTGATTATAGATTATAACTTAACAGATTATAACTTATAACTGTGAATTAACTGTTAACCTGTTTGGTACAGCTGTGGGATTATAGATTTAAATAGCAGAGTAGTGTTTGGTAAATAAGCTATAAAATAATCTTTTGCTGTCTAATTGTCATTTTGCCCTTATAAGATATAAATTTTGTGATTTCATTTATAATACATTTTTTTCTTTTTCTGTTCATTTTATTTTTTTATTTTTTTTTCACCTTCTTTTCTTTTTTTTTTTTTTTTTTTCTTCTCTTCTTTCTTTGTTAATTTTTTTAGATTTATTAATTCATTAAAATTAAATTCATGTTCTAATTTATATTAATGTTGTGATTTCATTACATATTTTTCATATATTCATTTTTATTATTTATATATGTATTTCTTTTCTTTATTATTATTATTAATTGTGATTTTAGTAAAAATTATCAATTGCTCATCAAATTTAAAATTAGTATCAATTTATTTTATATTATTATTAATTATTATTATATTATAATTGTTCATCAATATTAAAATTATCATCAATTGTCCATCAATTAATTATTATTATTTATTATTATTATTAAAATTAGTAAAATTATTATTATTGTGTCAAATTAATGGATTAATTATTATTATTATTATTATTATTATTATTATTTTCATTTTAGTATCAATAATATTAATAATCAACAATTGTTATACTTTCTTCTTCTTCTTTTTCTTTTTCTTTTCTTCATTTTTGTTTTCTTTTCTCCTTATCATTACAATTAATATCCATGTATCCATGTATTATTTTCATTAATATTATATCCATTTTTACAATTAATATGAATATTATACAATTAATATCCATTTTCATTAATCAATTACAATTAATATCAATTAATATCCATGTATTTATATATGTTATTTTTTTTTTCATTACAATTAATAATATAACAATTGTATTTCTTTTTAATATCCCGTATTATTGTTTTATAAGCTGTAAATTGTAAAATTACCCAATTTATTTCAATATTAATTGAAATATACTTTTTTTAAAATAAATGAAGTTTAATTGAAATAAATTCTTTTTTTGTTTTTTGATTTTTTTTTCTCTTTTAATTTCATTTACAATTTTGCAAACCTTAGATCTGAGAAGCCGGAGCCGCCGTAGGTGGTCAGCAAGAAGCCCCCACCAGAAACCCTCTGATCGTCATCATCATCACCATTTTCAGATCGTGATGTTGTTTCAAATCGTGACAGAGAGAGACGCAGAAATGGGTTGCTGTGACACGACGATGATGGCGACAAGCAGAAATAGGTTGCTACGATGCGACGGCAATGGTCCGCAACGGCGAGAGTGAGTCTTCAGACGCAACGAGAAGGGAGATTTAGGTCTGTGTTGCATTCTGGGAGTTGAAGGAGGCGACAGCAGACACAGTTCGCGACAGACGCGATCGGGTGAAGTGAGAGTGAGGTCGAGAAAGAGACTTGCCGCGTCAGATGTGAGATAGCGAGTGAGGGTTAGGGTTGGTTCTAGAACAAACATCACGATCATTGTGAAGAGGGAGAGTGAGGCGCTTCGGTTCAGATTGTGAAGAGAGAGAGTGAGACCACCGGAAATCGCCCCAATCTCTCTCTCTCTTGTGAAAAGAAGTGAACATGTTTTGTTATAGATTTATATATTGGTTTTTGTTATATTTGAAATATATGAGGGGCATTTAAGTCATAAGGTCCCTCAAAATCCAATTGCCCGTTTTAAGCTATTTTCATAAGCACCTCCAGCCCAACTTAGAGATTTAAGCTGGAAATCACTCCAAATAAGTTACAATCCCATCATCTGAAAAGTTATACTCAAACATCCAAAATCACTTATTTAAGCTATAAGTGAATTAAGTGAAAATAAGTTCTCACCAAGACGAGGCACATATATGCTTTTAAGAGATAGCTCGCTTAGAGCTGTCTTATGTGTATGCAAGTGTTATGCGACGGTAATAAATGGAATACTTATGCGGGTCCTAGACTATGCTTTGATAAATTAAAAAAAAAAAAATGACAAATATATTTTTATAAAAATAAATTATTTATTTTTTTAAATAACAAATATGATCAATTAAAAAGTTATTGATTATTAAATCCACTTTATTTTTTTATAAATAATATATATATTAAAATATTTATAAATAAATCTCTCTCTTTTTT